TCATTTAAGTAAAATTTCTCATATAAATAATTCCAATATTTCCCCTACAGTTATTATAAAATAACAGAAAATTATATAAATTTTCTATAGTCTTAGATATAGAATCATAACGTGTATAATCTCCTTTTGTTTGACATCTGTCACATTAATGACGTATTGAATGACGTATTGATGTATTGAATTGAATTTTGATTATCTATCACAACTGTCAACGTAACAAATACTAGCAAGTTTGTTTATTTGTATTTGTTTAATATAATTAAATATAAAATCATCATATATCAACCGTAATATACAACTAAATTATCAGTGACATAAATAATCATGGTTTACACTAGAAATAATTAATAGTATCCAGTAATGCTGCAGTTTTATATTCATATCAGTAGCCAAGCTTACTTTCAAATTCAAGAATGAACAGAAGATTAGAAGTTTAACATTCTTATTGCAATTGTACTTGCAATAATATATACATACAGTACTAATTATCAAGAACATTCCTCAAATACATGTGTGGTGAAGATTTTCCCAATATGCTATCTATTTGATTCCTAACCTCTAATGTAAATTTATTAAAGAAGTGAATAATCAGTGTTAGTGTTTGCTTTATTAATATTTAAAGTAATTGTCCTAACTTGATATTAATAGGTTCATATCTCCTTGGATACAGCCCAACATATACAACTAACTCGATAATGAAATTTATAAAATACTAATATTATATTTTACTACTTGTATATCTCCATACTATTCCCATAAAATATTCAAAACATGTATATTAAATATAAATCCAGTAAATATTCACTAATATTAACCCTGTCTGAACTTGTCTAGTCAATATAACATGAACAAACAACACACATACAAACCTTATCGCCAGGACAACTTCCTTTCTAAATATGAGTAAAATACATAGCCTCACAAGTGTCATACAGTACCAATTTTATACTGAACCTCATACCTAGTTAAGAGTAACTATAGTCAGAGAATCTTTTAGTACTTTTATTACCATTAGGAAATAAATCCACACCTATAATATCAATATAATTAAATATTATTAAAAGCAGTAATATACAAAGAGTTGTTATTGTCAGCTTGCTCACTACAATAAAATCAATATTAAAGTTTATAATAAATCAAGACAAATTATCTATTTACACAATACAGGCTTGTTTACCATAAACACCCCACAGTCACATGAATTTATCTACTAACACAATAATGTATTAAAAGTATTACATCCACATAAAATCACTTACAACAGTTAAGCTGTCTCTTTGTACATCTGGTGTAAAACAAATCCCCACATGTAGTCATGGATAATCAAATATAGACTAAGAATCATTAGTCTGGTCGACCGAGTAATGGTATGAAAACACTTCACCATGAAGCGTTAAGTATGAATAGATATTCTAAACCAACACTGTAGTAGTGTAATAAATACAAATATTTCATCATCATCATCGTCTCAACCATCACCAACCCACGACTGAACACAGGCAATTTCTACCGACTGACACAAGGAACGGCCCCACAATACACATAAAACAGTCACTCCAAACAATGGAGGTAGCCCACACCGCACTTGCATTCACAGGGTCGCCACTCAATAACCCTCTCTCTCATCAATGGCTGTTTCCCCAGCAATGAGACCAGACCATAGTCACTTTAGTCTATTATCCTCAATAAATAAATACTTTATAATAACTAGATATGAAACTAGTTAGTATTGTAATAGTTCAATAGTTGATTCAATAAGTATTTTCCAAAACTGGACAATTAGAACATTGAATCTAATTGATGAAGTTCTATCAAACGACCATATAATTGGATTTTGTATATGAGTAGAATAACGTAAGTACGTAAATTATATTGATGTAAACTTTGTTCAAATGTGATTGCATTTAACGATATACGCATTACCTAAAGGTATATGGACTCGACTAAATACGTATTTTAATAGTTGTTGGGAAAAATATTAAGTATAGACTTTGCCTGTGATCACAGTCAAAAATCTAACTACGTAGTAATAAATGGAACAAGCTCACCGGATTCTCCAGTCTTCTATTGATTAATTTCACACACTTAATCGATAGTGATACACTAAGATCTCAAACCCCTTCATCGATCCGGTCCCTCCCCGATCCATATCCCAGTTATTTTTCCATTTTATTGCGCAGCTCCTTAAAACACGACTCCCGCGCCATTTTTTTTTTTTTTTTTTTTTTCTTTTATTGCGCAATTCCTAAAAAGCGACCCCCGCGCGCCCGCCGATCTGCCGTCTCCCCTCTCTTTTTTTTTTTTTTTCTATTCTTTCTCTAATAACGTCATAGATTATGTCACCGAAGGGTAGATATTTCAATAATCAGATTTAGCCTATTATTCGAACTGAACTTTTCTTTAAATTCAATTTAATTATATGTTAACGTATTTTGGTATTTTATATTAAATTGATTATCGAATTTATAAAACTTTAAAGGCTCTCATAAACCTTATTAAACTGTGTTGTATGTATCTTTTTTACACCTGATGATAAAAAGGTAAACTATAATTTGGTTATATATAAAATATAATATATTTTTGTTTAATTTATTTAATTTTCTTGTGACATCCACTACACTTTGGAAACACATCAAAGGAGTTTCCCTTCTGTGTCAATATTTTATATATGGTAACGTCTTCTCTGTATACTATTGTGAACCTTGACTTTAAAGTTTGTTTATATTAAATAGCTCAGCTTTCGCAGCGGTCACCCATAGGAACCCCTGTTTCTTTTCTATGTACTTATGGTATTAAACCTATTGTACTATAGGCGAACCGTCACAACGTAACGGAGAAGTCTAATGTAAGTTACATTAACATAACAGTAATCAAATAGATGATGTTTTATTTTCAAGACCGTTTTATTTTGTCTAGTTCACCTTTGTTGAGACATTCTCCATCACAATTTTTTTCTATACAACTTAGAATGGCAAACAAGCTGACGTCCCACCTGATGGATGCAGTACCATGAACATAACAGAGTATACTGTTTCGCCCATGATACCCCCCATGCGTTGCCATTCCTGAGGGCTCAGGTGTTATTCCTCCGTACCCAGTAAATTCACGCCATATCTCACCCTTCAAACCGAAACACAGCCATGCAAACACAACTGCTTTACGGTTGAAACACGAATGAGACAGAGGTACCCAAGCAATCGACTTTTGTACAAAGTGTCCCTCTGGTAATATGCAATGAATATGCTTTCTCCCACGCACAACCACTCTTTGGAATCAACTTCCAGCAGCAGTATTTCCGAACCGATACGACAACATAACCTTCAAGAAAAGAGCATATTCCTTTTTAAAAGGCCGGCAGCACACCTGCAATGCCGTAGGTGTTGTGGGTGACCATGGGCGGCGGTAGTCACTTACCATCAGGTGAGCCGCATGCTCGTTTGCCCCCTGTGTTGTAAAAAAAAAACAATGAAGCCTTTTCAAATTAAAATAATATATTCCTGCTGTGTTATTCTTCAAATATTTAATACTATTTGATACTATCTTTTATAGATAGACAGATACTCTTTATTGTTTCCTTCAAAAGATTACAGTAGTAGACTTATTATAAATATAAACAATTACAAGAAATAATCACAATGAGAAAACAATGGGCGACCTTATCGCTGAGAGCGACCTCTTCCAGGCAACTTTTGGATGGAGAAGAGTAATTATAAACAATTTGACTGGAGGCACGGAACGTTATTTTAAATACTCTAAATATGGAGATATATATATAATTATAGATATAAAGATCCCTCTTAAAACGTCACCAAAGTCTTGTCTGTTAAGCGTAGTGACTATTGGTAAAACCTATATTAAGCAATGGCCAGTCGACAGTTGATATGTTGAGTATAATGATAGATGTTGAGTGAGATGAAAGATGTACTTTTCCTTTTTTGCGCAAACCAATTTTGTACTTTTATAATAATAAGAAATCTGTTATTAGCCTTAATATTTTAAATACTAGTATGTAAATCTTAACTGTAACGCCGTTGGTTTCTAATAAATAAATAAATAAATAAATAGATATATTGCAGTCAAAACTCTTAACTAGTCAAAAGTACTATTGACTAGCGAAATCAGTCAAAAGTACTTTTGGCTGAACAGGTCGGTCAAAAGTGGTTTTGACTGAAAATTGTTGGTTATTAGTACTTTTGACTGCAAATTTGTGTGAAAAGTACTTTTGATTGACGCTCTTCGTCAAAAGTAGTTTTAACTGCAATAAAGGATCAGTCAAAACCTAACCTAATCTAACTTAATAATGACCACCTTAACTTTTTAAGAGTTTTGACAGATACAACCAGTCAAAAGTACTTTTGACGGAATCACTTAGTCAAAAGTACTTTTTGTACCATTGGGTAAAAGTACATTTTTAACTGTTATTTTAGTAAAAAGTATTATTGACTAAAGCATACGGTCAAAAGTACTTTTGACCAATTTTGCCAAAAGCTTAAACTAAAAGCGTATTTACTGTCCAACCTTGCTAAAACAGCAGAATATTAATGTAAATATATATAAAAGTATCACACACAAGCCAGAGAGGTTTAAGTGGTACTTAAAATCCATAGTTATCCAAATGTTAATCCAAATTAATTAACCTACTAATGCTAATTAATTAATTTTGACCGACCTGTTCAGTCAAAAGTACTTTTGACCGATTTTGCTAGTCAATAGTACTTTTGACTGGTTAAGAGTTTTGGTTGCAAGAAATATATATTTAAACAATCATGGCTAGAATGTCGAGGTTATATCAATATATTAATTTAAAACATTCGAACTCATGAGTGACAGATTTCATATTGGAAACATTTGAATTGGATATTGGAAATCGAATCACTTCCAAAGCTAAATATTGTTTGATTGAATGATTTATGGTTTCCAATCTCGCGAATTGACGTTTTTATGAAAAATTACTTTAATTCGATTCGGATTGTGTGACGAATGGATTTTGTCTTTTGCAGAGCGGGAACCGCAAGTGCTTTGCTACCTGACTTCGTGGTCTTCGAAGAGGCCCAGCGCCGGTCGGTTCACACCAGAAAATGTGGATCCCACTCTTTGTACTCACGTTATTTATGCGTTCGCGACACTTAAAGATCACAAACTAGCCGAGAACGATGAAAAAGATGCCGATATGTACGACAAAGTTGTGGCTCTGAGGGAAAAGAATCCTAATTTGAAGGTAATTTTTTTTTTTAATTAGACAATAAAAATAATTAAACTTTGATAAACATAATGACGTTTGTACACGTGCATATGTATTTAGAATCAAAAGCTGTACGCTCTTCAATACAGTCAAGTCATAAAAAGAGGAGAAATAAGGTGGAGCCTGGAGTGGAGAGTAGTAATGCTAAATGAATAGGTACCTTGTACCAGTGTTACTGTATATTATATACATATATGCAAATATGTAAAATGCAAAATACGGTAAAAAACTTTATTATCACAGTTAAAGGACTACGCAGTAGTCCAATGCTGAATCCTGAACGATTACATGACAACTTGGTCATACGAGATGTGTGTTAGACGGCTAGTAAGACAAAATTTTTTAGACTGTGGTTATCATTGTCTAACGCATATTCGCTGCAATGTAGCACAGCGTACATATGTAGAGTACTACAAAATACAAATGCAAGTGTTATATCTAACAAAAGAAATAATACATATTCTGTGATATTGGCCTTTTAAAAAAAGAAAGGTTGTTTTCAATGTTTTCCGACAACAGATTATAAATTGCGCTTCTTTTTTCAAAAGGAGATCTTCAATTCATTCATATTTTTGTATTTCGATCCCTAATTTTGAACCCTCCGTGTCGGTCCCATATTAAAGTCTCTTTTACTTTTACGACGCAAAATTTTGCTAAATTATTACTTGTGCTAACGCCTACCCATATCATAACAATATCAGCTTTCTCAATATGTCTTTTTAACTACATACGAGTACGTGCTGTTCTTTATAAGCCTTTAGAGTTTTTCTTCAAAAGATCGTGACTTATCTGGCACAGGCTTAATTTTCAATTTCATTTTATTATATTGACAAAATTAAAATGTCATAGATATTGCTGGTATAACTTGAATAGGCGCAGCGTGATAAAGTGTACTAGTCAAAATGTTTCTTTTTGTTTCTAAATTGATTATATACATATATATTCTTTATTGCACTAAAACATACAGTAACAACAATAAGTTAATAACAATGTTAGCAAAGGCGAACTTAGCTCTAAAAGAGATTTTTTCCAGTCAACCTAAGACAGTGGCACAGGAAGCAGTGAGTGGGCAGTAGTAGTGCTAAACAGAAGTTAAAATAAATATTTACATAAATTATAAATAATTATATATATATACGCACATATATTGTATATTATAATATTTTTTTTTATTTATTTAATTAATTACATTCAAATACTATGGATTTTAAATACCACTTAAACCTTTCGGGTTTTTTCTGCTGTTTTAACAAGGTTGGACAGTAAATACGCTTTTAGTAATAAGCTAGTATAGTATTATATTATCTGTGGCATAGGTAAGGATGAAATCTCATCATTTATCTTCTCGTGATGAATCCATCATATCTCTGCCTCCCCTTATCAGGAGAATAAGGCTTTCCCCTCTCCTATGTCTCAGAGTACTGCATTGGATGATGTAAATGCAGCATTACCTTAATTATTTATAATTTCAGATACTCCTAGCCATCGGCGGTTGGGCTTTCGGCTCCACACCCTTCAAGGAACTCACGTCCAACGTGTTCAGGATGAATCAGTTCGTGTACGAAGCTATCGAGTTTCTCAGGGACTACCAGTTCAATGGTTTGGACGTTGACTGGGAGTATCCTAGGTGAGGGAACATATCATAATATTTTTATCGTCATAAAAAATTACATAACATTCTTATATGGTATAAGCTATATAAGGATTATACTACTTTTTTGGATTTCTGCTATTTTTTTTAATTTCTATTAATATTAAAAACTAGCTATTTCCTACAACTTCACCCGCATGAATAAATTAAAATTATAAAATTAATAGAATACGAAAGTGTATGAAAATGTTTGTTACTCAACTACACTTAAACAATGAATGGAGTTGAATGTAATTTGGTACAGTGGTAGGTTAGATTTTAACTATCTATGTACTAGAATATTTTATATACTGATCACATGGGTAAAGATACGGGATTCCGTTAGTATGGAATACACCATTGTTGACGCTAATATGTATACATATGAGATATAAATTTTATTTAAATTAAAAAGCGGAAATTCTCAATTTGACCATAGATAACGTAATAATTACTTTAATATTCGCACATAGGATTCTTTATATGCTGATTCATGCGAGCAAAACCGCGGGATGTAGTTAGTATTTCATAATATTCTGTTACAGAGGCGCAGACGACCGCGCGGCCTACGTTTCGCTCCTGAAGGAATTACGTCTCGCGTTCGAGGGTGAAGCGAAGTCATCCGGCCAGCCAAGACTGCTACTAACTGCAGCTGTACCAGCGTCGTTCGAAGCCATCGCCGCCGGTTACGACGTGCCCGAGATTTCCAAATATTTGGTAAATAACTTTTTAATTCTACTTTTTAAATCTTATTATTTTGATAGGGTGAAAATGGAATAGTAACATGTGTGCCATTGGTATACGTTGGTGAGAAACCAGTAGAACAATATTAGGTCAATTGCTTCATCGTGATGATATCACTGCAAATAGACCACAATGGTTTCCAAGAGGGATCGCGCGGTGATCAGCCTAATTTTTTTTAATGGGTGATAATGGAATGGTAACATCACCCGCGCTATCGGTATACGCTGGCGAGGCACCAGTGAAAGGTGATTGGTGACGATAAACCAGGTCCGTTAGCCCATCGTGACGAATTGCATTAGATCTGGAATCCCCCTGGAAAGCATCGTGGTTAATCCACGATGGTTTCCAGGGGGAACCGCATGGAAGTCGAACTGATAGGGTATATTGCTAGCAATGGATCAATTAAACCCCATTACAAACAATCCCTTTTCCCCCAATAGGCGCCCTATTAGAACTGTGCTAACAACGGGGCTGTTAGTCTTTGAAAAGTATTAACAGCATGTGCCACATCTAAATATTTTTTAATCCAGGTATAAATCATATTTGAAAGAAAGAAAGAAACAAACCTTATTTTCTTGAAATATGCGACAGCACCCACAAATAGGCAAAAATAAATAAATAAATAAATAACTAAGTAGGTACTATTTAAAAAATACATTAATAAGTAAATACTACTAATATAACCAAACAATATAAAAAAAATACTGACCTTTTTATTGCTCTCAATTTACCGCCCCTCTTTTTGCCTCAAGGCATTTGCTCGACGACAAAATTCTAGTCTCGATTATTAACGATAAAAAAAATTCTCCAATTGCAGGACTTTATCAACGTAATGACTTACGACTTCCACGGGCAGTGGGAGCGCCAGGTCGGACACAACAGCCCACTGTTCCCTCTAGAAAGTGCGACCAGCTACCAGAAGAAACTTACAGTGGTAAGTAAATCATAGCGTCGTCACCCAACAACGGATTGTGACCAGAGGAATTTTTCAATTTGATACCCACGGCCACTTTCTACCATCGTACGGCTCGCCATCGACAGGAAGTTCACTCTCATACCCTACAACCTAAATAGTTGCGTACAACGCGGTTTCAGAGATGTTTTCTCCTAAAAACACTCAGATTATGGAATGAGCTCCCTGCCGAGGTTTTTCCCAAGAGATGGGAAGCATGGGATTCTTCAAAAGGGGAGCAAAGATGTTTCTTCAAGGTTGGTAACCACTCACCATCAGGTGGGCCATATGCTTGATTGCCACCTCAGTGGTATAAAAAAAATCCGGTTACGTTTAATATCCCGTCAATCAGAACTAACCTGCTTCAGTACGCTCCTTTGACTCGCGCAATACAGGTATTAAATAGTATTATAAACATCATTGATGCTTTCAATAGTAGTCTGCCACAGATATTTTTTTTATACAACTTAGAATGGCAAACAAGCTGATGGCCAACCTGATGAAAAGTGGTAACCGTCGCCTATAGACATGAGCCCATGATGCCCATGGACATAACAGAGTATACTCTTTCACCCATGATGCCCCCATGCGTTGTCATTCCTGAGGACTCAGGTGTTATTCCTCTGTACCCAGTAAATTCACGCCATATCCCACCCTTCAAACCGAAACACAGCCATGCAAACACAACTGCTTCACGGTAGAAACACGAATGGGACAGAGGTAAGCAATCTACTTTTGTACAAAGTCTCCCCCTAGTATTATAGGTTATTCTCTAATTTGGACTTTTTCAACAGGACTATTCAGCCCGCGAATGGGTCCGGCAGGGGGCGCCCAAAGAGAAGCTGATGATTGGTATGCCGACATACGGCAGGTCGTTCACGCTCATCAACGAAACGCAATTCGACATCGGCGCTCCTGCTTCCGGTGGCGGTAAATACTGATTTTCATATAATCATCGTACCAGCTATTACTGTCCACTGCTAAATATAGAACTCCATCTTATGGGGGTTTGCTAATAGTTGCCACGTACGGCAAGCGGGTTGGCAACTGCAGAAAAGGTATTTTTTAAGCGACTCCTAAAAAAACTAGGTTCAGAATTGATCTGAATATTTTGCTAATTCTTATTTGATTTCCACACTTCTTTTTGCAATCAGTCGGTTGAGTTTACTCCCGTTTTGGTCCCATTTTAATTTCATAGAGAACGAAGCATCCATTTTTGTCTGCGGAGCAAAAAATATGTGTCTATTGTAAAACAAAATGTATACGTAAACACGCAATATTTACAATGTAGGGATAAACCCTATTGTGTAAATATTGCGTACAAAACAAATCATTGTAGGGTATCTACAAAAAAAACTCTATGATCATCAGTTTTATCGTGATTAAGTCGCTTCTTTAACCTTCTTCGAAAAAGGAGGAGGTTTTCGTTTCGATTGGATTTTTATTTTGTATGCTTGTTATTTAAAAACAAATAAAAAACTTTTTTATCTTAAACATACTTTCGGATTAGTCTTATAGAAACTTCATCAATATCGATTCTGTAGATTGGTATTTGAATAAAAGTAACTAGTTTTACCAGCGTTGCTTTCAAAATCGGTGTTTTAACCGACTTCGAAAAAAGAGGTTCTTATTTGGTTATATTTCTTTGTGTTTGTTACCTCTCAGTTACTCAGTTAAGTTAAAGGTAAACCCATTTGTAATTTTTTTTTATCTAAATGTGTATACTTTTTAGATAAAAAAAGATTAGTTTTGTAGAGAAACCATCAAAATCGGTTCTATAGTTTAATTTCCAGACCAAAATAACGGGTTTTTTCACAATTGAAGTCGGTTTTTTTTATGGGACACAATCTTTTTTATTATCAACTAGCGACCCACCCCGACTTCGCATGGGTGTAATGCTGATACTAAAAAGGGGCGCCTCCACCGACCTTCCTCTTGAATCACTCTATCTATAAAAAAAAACTGCTTCAAAATCCGTTGCGTAGTTTTAAAGATCTAAGCATACATAGGGACGGACAGACAGCGACAGCGACTTTGTTTTATACTATGTAGTGATGTTGATACAATTTTGTATGACAGGTCAAGCAGGCCGCTTCACCAACGAGGCTGGCTTCATGTCGTATTATGAAATATGCGAATTCCTGAGGGAAGACAACACCACTCTGGTTTGGGATAACGAGCAAATGGTGCCGTTCGCGTACAGAGAAGACCAGTGGGTGGGTTTCGACGACGAGAGATCGCTTAAAACAAAGGTAACGTATTTGAAATTTAATCATCATCATCATCATCATCATATATAAATAAATATCAGCCGTTAACTGTCCATTGCTGAATATAGGTCTCGTTTTGCCAGTAGTTGTCATACTTGGCAAAAATATATGAATATTATATAATACGAATAGGTCACATTTAAACAAAGAGAAAATCTAGTCCTTATTTCGTATTAAAGGCAACATTTAAATTTAAATAACATTTTCTCAATAATACATTTGTCAGGTAATTTATAATTTGCTTTCTTCCCAACAATAACGTTCATTAAGTTAGCTGATTGTACAGTCCTAATTACAAGTTATTCAGAACATTAAAATATTTGCATAAAAAGGACTGCGGAACTTAGTTGGAATTAATTCCTCGTGATTTTTTAATTCATTCGATTTAATCTCAAATTATGTTTACTTGATTCCTTTATTCAATAAATCTTGTTTAGTGAAATGGTGAATAATATGGTTTCATATCCTTATAATTACCACTAGCTATTTCCCGCGGCTTCGTCCGCGTGAATCAGTATATAAAATATTTATTTATTTATTTATTCTTTAATGACCACTGTACAAAAAAATGTCTGGTACAAAAGGTGGACTTAATACTACATAGTATTCTCTCGCAGTCAATCTTTGGCGAAACAGAAATGTAATTATGCGGTGAAAAAATTGAAAATTGTCGCAGATAAACAATTACACGTACGTATCGATATTGACTTACAAATCACAACACATACAGTGGGGAACTACTGCATATTATGATTATATATATCCTGAGTCCTCAGGAATGGCAACGCATGGGGGGTATCATGGGCGAAACAGTATACTCTGTTATGTCCATAGCACTGCTCATGTCTATAGGCGACGGTTACCACTTTCCATCAGGTGGGCCGTCAGCTTGTTTGCAATTCTAAGTTGTATAAAAAATATATATATATAAATATATATACATAAATACATTAAAGAAATATTACTTATATATACAAATACATGCATATACAATATACAAAAATATGCTTACACATATACATATATATACATACTTATAGATTTTATACTATTGTAATACCAATAAACAACGAATATTCTACGTGTAAGTTAGGATACAACCTAACCTTGTACCAAATTTCATTTAAATCCGTTCAGGTGTTTAAGAGTGATTGAATAAAAAATATACAAACATTTTTACAAATTTTCTCGTAATAATATAATTTTTTTTTTTATTTAAATTAAGTTCAAGTGTTTAAGTTTTTAGTAGTGTGTAAAATTTTTAATTGGATTACTTGTTTTTTTATTATTTATATTATTTTAAATATGTCTTTAATGAAATAGTAATGGACTAAAAGAAAAGAACTTATTCTAATTGCATTCAATTGCTGGATGCATTTTTATGGAACTTTTGAATATTAATATCTATAGGAAACTGTTACAAGTAGTGGTAAAAACCGCCGTCAATATTCTAAGTTGTTTAAAAAAAAAAAGATATCGCAAAAGGCACTATAACGTCTTGAATACTAAGGTTTTATTCCTTCATACCTTGAAGTTACAAACATATCCATTACGCCTGTCTCCCATTGGAATAGACAGAAACAATAGAATGCCAAATGCTCCGACTTCTTTGACGTCCTCGACATTCATTAATCTTTTCATACACACTTGCCTTTTACAGGTAGTTTTAATTGGGCTCTTTTTTATACCTTGAAATTTTAAATTAACTGAAATGTTATATAATACTAGATTGAATAAATTCAAATGCAGGGATTTTTGATTGAAAATGAAATGTTATTCTCACTGATGCTGTTGGTTTACTATAGTACCAGGATATCCAAATTAAAGTTAATTGTTACGATGACTTTTATAGAGGACCACGTGGAGGTCGACCTGTCAATTGTATATTGATAGCACTGGGATTCACAAATATTAACAAACCCTTCCCAACTCCAAATCCAGAGTTAAAAATTTTTCTTCAAATAGTTTGTGAATTTAAAAAGATAAATTTGTTTTCACAGATGGCGTGGCTCAAGGAAGAAGGATTTGGTGGGATCATGGTATGGTCTATCGACATGGATGACTTCAGGGGATCATGCGGTACAGGAAAGTATCCCCTCATCACCGCAATGAAGCAAGAACTTTCCGGTTACAAAGTTAAATTGGAATTCGATGGGCCTTATGAATCATCAAGCTCCAGTGGACAGTACACCACAAAAGATCGTAAGTGATATTTAAATTATAAACTCCAAATTATGTTTATATCTTTATGAATCATAAAATTATAAGAAAACTATATAATCATAAGAAAAATATTTTTTTAATGAGTAATAATGGAGAATACCTTTTTCTGCACTAACGCATATACAGATTCTACTTGCAAAAGGCTTAAAATTTAAATATTGGTAGTCACATACACATTTCAAGCAATCGAATTTTGTACAAAGTCTCCCCAGAGGGAGACTGTACAAAAGTCGATTGCTTGGGTACCTCTGTCCTATTCGTGTTTTGACCGTGAAGCAGTTATGTTTGCATGGCCGTGTTTCGGTTTGAAGGGTGGGATATGGCGTAAATTTACAGAGTACAGAGGAATAACACCTGAGTCGTCAGGAATGGCAACACATGGGGGAGAGACATGAGCGAAACAGGATACTCTGTTATGTCCATGGTACTGCTCATATCTATTGGCGACGGTTACTACTTTCCATCAGGTGGGCTGTCAGCTTGCTTGTCATTCTAAGTTGTATAAAAAAAAACATTAATGATAGCGAAATGATGATGATGATGAGAATAAAGAATCTCTATTTTCTAATTAAATCCCAACATTTTTATAAAATTATAACCAAAATTCACTTTTATAGCCAATGAAGTGACGTGCGAAGAAGAAGATGGCCATATCTCCTATCACCCCGACAAGGCTGACTGCACTATGTACTACATGTGCGAAGGCGAGAGAAAACACCATATGCCTTGTCCTTCTAACCTCGTTTTCAACCCTAACGAGAATGTTTGCGACTGGCCAGAGAATGTGGAAGGATGCACCCATCATACCCAAGCTCCTGCGGCGAGACGATAAACTTCATGCATATCATCATATACCAGTTTAATAATTTTCTATTCATGTTTACTTTTAAATACAATATATGGATTTTATATCAATTTGCCTGATGACATTTGGATTTTTTAACTTAATTTACGACTGAAATTATGTAAAATAATAACTGATGACTTTTGGTCAAGACACTGGAATGTTGTTTATAGATGATTTAAGAGCGTTCATATTCGATTGTGGTAAAGTCTGAATTTTTAAAAAGAAGTAACAAATTTCAATATTTATGAATAATTATTTAAAAAATGATCTGATAGTGAACTGAAACGTGAATTTTAAGATTTCTTTGATTCTTATTTAGCTATCACCGAAATTTATTTAGATGGTAAAAAAGTATTAAATTTAAAAAGCAAAATATAAAGTAACAACATAATTTATTACGCAATGGTACGCTATGACTGATGTTCAGGGTATTTTATAAATATTTTTTCTAAAATCTTGAAATGTTTTTACTTGCTTTTGAAAATTTACCGATGATAAAGACGTTGCCATACTTAGATATGAACTCTTTTAATTCTGATATTCATTATCCAAATAATTTGCGTAAACCTGAAAAAAAATTGTATAATACTGTTTAGTAATTGTACACAAAAATAATGATATATTTTGTAGATTTAAAGTTTAGATCATCTATACCTAGATGGAGTGTGTAATATAAAAAAACGCTGCAATAATTATCAGCCAACTGTTGGCTGAAGCGTCTTTTTTTATAATGAATGCTTAAACGTTCAAACTCTTGTTAGGATGTACGAAAGTTAGAAAGTATAACATTGATTATTATAAAAGACATATATATATAGAAAATGACGATTAGTATAATAAAATTCAACAATTTAAACACTGACACAATTTTAAAAGTAAATATAAAAAAAAAACTGCTACTTTTGTCGAAAGCGTTTTATAAGGAGACACTCTATCTAGATCTAAACATTTTTTTATACAATTAGTTAGACACTATTCAACTTGGAAACGATCCACCAATATTTATATATGTATTAATGGGGCATCATCATATAAAATAGTTTATTTATTGGCGTTCGTTGGTTTGTCTCGAATAGCAGACAGTGTGATATAATGTAAATTTTTTAACATTATTATTGAACAATGTAGGTGTATAATATATTATATTACTGATAAATTATATTTTATGATTACTTTAATTAATTTCTCCCTCCCAAACTTACACAATATGATGTGTATAAGAATTAGTTTAAAATCGAACATGTCGATACATGAATTAATCAAAGAACACGATTGTAATAAACTCATACTAATATTGTTGCTGTTAGAAATTTATTCAAGATGGCGTTAAGACAATAAATTTTAGAGTCTAACAAATGGCAAAAAAATAACAAATATATATGTATATAATATAGTATATTATCTTACTGATATAACAAAATTTGAAATGGACTATGTCTGTATATGGAAGATATTTAAGAAAAAAATAATACGAGAGGTCTTAGTGTGTCCAGTATAGATCAAAACAATATTTTTTAAAAATATTGACGAACTATATATGTTTGTTCCAGTATTCCGTATAAACTGTCGCACTAAATTGAATGCAGTTTTCTAAGATGCAGTTTAAACAGTGTAACTTAATATCCAGTCTATGTTTCGTCTTGACGCGCCATCTAGAAATACGAGTAGTTAGTTTCATTGGTTTTATCATTTTTGAAATTTATACATACGAATTAGTGAGTTGAAAGGTAGTCGAATATAAAATTGAGACTACAATAATAATAAATAAAGAAAATAATAATCTAAATAATGCACTATAAAAATTTTATCGTATTGAAATTGAAAGCAAATTTCCAAATGAATATTGTGTATTTTTGGGATAGGTACTTTAAATAGATATAATATTTAGTTTGTAAGTAGTAATAGAGCTTTTTTTTTTATTTTAATATTGAATACTCAAATCAGCTAAATCACTGCCTTTTCATGCTGCCAATTGTATGGTCATGTACGAATTAAAATAATGTTTGCAACAACAAAACGACGATGGAACATTATTCTGTATATTTAAGATTGTAAATATTGTATTTAGATAACAGAGAGACGTAAGAGTATTATTAAAGATTTTTTTTTAAAACATAAAGTTATTTTATTGTTAAAAGATTCGTAAGTACACATCATAAATATTTTAATGTATTAACTACCGGTTTAACTTACGTGTAATATGGGTCGAGAGAGCTTTTTTTTTATACCACTGAGGTGGCAAACAAGCATACGGCCCACCTGATGGTAAGCGGTTACGCCTGCAATACCAGAGGTATTACGCGTGCGTTGCCGACCCTGAAGAAACCTCTTTACCCCCCTTTTGAAAAACCCAACTATGAGCTCGACTAGTTTCAAGATCATTCCGGACTCTTAGACTTGAGCGGCTGTCATGCTATATATGCTCACATTCGATCTAATTACACATAAGTTAAACCAATAGTTATAATATTAAACCATAAATTTATTATTTATACTTTATTGCAAACAATTACATTAATTAAACATATTTTGATCAAAGATGTACAACTGGTGAGATTGGAGGGGAAAGGGATTGTTAGTAATGGAGACTGAGAATCCCATTGCTAGCAATATACCCAACCAGGTCGACCTCTTCGCAGTTCCCCTTGGAAACTATCATGGTTAATTCTTGATGAATTCATCATGATGGGCTAACTGGCCTGTTTTCATTCTCATCTATCACCCTTCACTGGTGCCCCGCCAGCGTATCCCGTTAGCGCAGGCGGGGTTACCTTACCATTTTCGCCCATCAAAAAAAAAAAACTGGTTAGATTAAAACTGCAAGAGTTCTCTTCCGGCGATTACTGGGTGGACTAAAAATTATCTAATTTGGATGAAATTCTTTTTTGAAATGAAATTTTCGTAGTGATATTTATTACAGATTATAAAATCGAAATTTTAACTTAACATGAGTACGTTTGATACGTGTTTGGTAGAAGTCTGAGCCCGGCATAGAATAGACCACCCGAGGTCGAGGGATGGACAGCAGCGTCCCCCTTAAAACATCTCCAAGGCCTAACTGCGGTTGTCAACCGGCCTTAAGCGTACCAACTACTGGCAAAACTCCCCAATGGAGGGAGGCCTATGTTCAGCAATGGGCAATGAACGGCTGATACGGTTTGGTATATGAGTACATTTAGCTTTACTAAATGTGTTTTATTTGCAACTAGTAAATTTGATAACTGAAAAAAAACAGCGACTACTTTGTAATTTCATTATTTTTATTTGAAATGGAACAAAATGTATCAATAAAAATGGCTGCTTCAATCATGACAAAAATAATATGAAACCAGTTACCAGAGGGAGACTTTGTACAAAAGTGGTTTGCATGGGTACCCCTGTACTATTCGTGTTTCAACCGTGCAAGGAGTTGTGTTTGCATGACTGTGTTTCAGTTTGAAGGGTATATGGTGTGAATTTACAAGGTACAGAGGAATAACATCTGAGTCCTTAGGAATGGCAACGCATGAGGGGTATCATGGGCGAAACAGTATACTCTGTTATGTCTATGGTACTGCTCATGTCTATAGGCGACGGTTACCACTTTCTATTAGGTGGGCCATCAGCTCGATTGCCATTCTAAATTGTATAAAAAAAAATTAACACCGGTCTAAATCCTATATAATTCTATCAATTTAAAAATGTTTTATGAAAATCGTTCCATGGATTTGAGACAACCGTGTGACTTGGCTGCAAAACAATACAGATAAATTAAGAACTACGTTCTTTTGGGATGGCAAGTTACTCAAAATAGTTTCATTTCAAACCAACCGTTACCAGAAGACGCTCGCACCCAGCCTTACTGCGCTTGATCACGCACAAGCAGTTAATTTCACACATTTGTTCCTGACACTTACTTTGTCGAAGATTATATATGACCGTTAGTCGATTAAGCAGATTTATAGAGTGGATTGAAATAAAGAGTTTTATATTGAGGAATTCGTGTTGCCAGCTCTTAAACTTTTTATAGTCCATCAACTTTAATTTTCAATTTACCGTTTAAACCCCACAAAAATGTGGCCCTTTAAAATTGACTTCAAAAAGATGGTTTTCTAACGGACTTTATTTTTTATTTAAGTTACACAACATGCCAATTTGAAATTGGCTTCCAAATGACTTCAAAAAGAATAAAGTACTCAATTAGGTTCTATTTTTTTTTTATGTTTATTACCTCATACCTCCGTCTGTTATAAACTGATTTGGAAAAATATTTTTTTTTTATCTGAAAGGTATATCCTTTATCCTTATAGATTTATCCCATAGATATTTTATTAAAATTGATTTAGTGGTTTTCAAAATATTGTCTTAAAAACCGTAGCTTCAATCGTAATAGACATGAAACCAATCCGGATTTCATTACCATCTTCATATCAGAGACTAAACTTTATTAATTGCAAAATATAACTGAACTATGAGACAAACTGAGGACTTCCAGATTTCGGAAGTCGCTTAAAATCGTAGACATTTCTATCCGTCCATAGCCCCACATGCCTTATATAACTTGCTGTTTATTTTTCGCCATCTGCATCATACGTCTGCAAAGCGAGTGAATCAAGGTTGTCAGCTAAAGAAAATAAATTGAAGAATTGTTGAATTTCTAAATTGTATAATATTTTACAAAATACTTCGACTATAGCTCGCGTTGCCATCCTTCGGGGACTAGTACTGCCAACGCTTATGTATTAAAGTGAATCGTGGGTACGATAGAAAATACACCGAAGTAGGATTAATGACGTGGAAATGTGAGATTTGAAAAGTATTGTTAAGCTATTTTACTAATAAATTTTAAAATAAGCTATAAAATAAAGATGTTACTTTCAAGCGACTCCAAAAAGAAGAAAGTTTATGTATTATATGTGTATTTCTTATGTATTGTGTATTGCCTTAATGTGTTACTATAATTGTCACATATTTTTCACATCTGCCCTTGATACGCTTTCTGTTTTCACCTAATGGTTACCTGGTAAAGAATGCCATATGGCATTAAGCTCGCCATGTGTACAAAGTTTTATTGTGCAATAAAGAATAACAAAAAGGATCGCAATTCGGTTGTATTTACCATCAGGTGAGCCGCATGCTAGTTCTTCCCCTATATTGTACATATAACTGCGCAAACTGAAATTAAAGTTTACAGTGCAAAAAAAACATTTGTTTCATGAGTCATCTTGGCGTTTCGATCCGAAACATAGATGCAACTCCTTTGCATTAATATTGTAAAAAAAAAAATATTAAAAAAGATTACAATAAAGAAAATATCTCGGTTAGGAAGAAATCTGTTAATATGTGTTGTTATTTTATGAAAAATCCCACATATAATAACCTGCAGAGATGAATTAACTTTCTTGGACTATCCAAAATGTATTGGTCCTTCGAGCCAGATATGCATATTGACTACAGAATGTTTCTTTTTTAATTTTGTTGTAAATAAATATTACATTATTATCAAAGAAAAAGTAAAATTAAAATCGGAATATAAATGGAAAAGTTAACGCATCACATAAATCACACTAAAGTGATACAACCCTGTAGCATCCATGTTTTTTAAATCAACTGAAAATGGATTCTCAAACTTTAATATATATTTACTGATTTATAATGTTTCGGTGCAGTACAGTGCAGCTTGAACTGCAAAATTATAACCTAAATATATACTCATCGAAACGTTAACAACGGATATATCTCTGTAGTGACAACCCTAGCTGTATGTGATGGCGTATTATGTGTATTCGAAGCAGAGGTAGAATTTTAAGTATTCTGAGTATTTCTGAGACTGCAAGCAATACTGGAACAGAAACGAACCACGTCCTATAGAATTTAACTCGAAATCGTGCGCTGTTTCCACTTAAAATTTTTGGATAGGGTTTTGTTCAGATATTTTATTATTTTGTCTGCCATTGTATTGTAAATTGCCGAATAAAAGAATAAATTCAGAGATAAAGAGAAAACAAAAAACTCTTAACAATGGCTTTTTTTTATGGGTGAAAATGATATGGTAACCCCGCCTACGCTAACGGGATACGCTGGCGGAGCTCCAGTGAAGGGTGATAGATGAGAATGAAAACAGGCCAGTTAGCCCATCATGATGAAGTCATCAGGAATTAACAATGATAGTTTCCAGGGAGAACCGCGAGGAGGTCGACCTGGTTGGGTATATTGCTAGCAATAGGATTCTCAGTCTTCATTACTAACAATCCCTTTCCCCCCTCTTAACAATGGTTAATAAGAGAAGAACGTTGACTGAAATGATTGAGACTAGAAAAGATGGCGGATAAACCAAAATAGTAAATGTTTTAAATTCGATTAGGTATATTTAGATAAATAGATAAATAAACACTTTATTTGAGCCATTTATGATACATGTATATGAACAAACGAGTTCATACAATCAAATTAATTCCTTTTTTTTTAAATAAAAAACAAAAGATAAAATACGAAAATTTGTTTTCGTCATGTACGTCGCAGTGACCCAAATATTTTATGTGTATGTTACACCACCAGAGGGAAACTTTGTACAAAAGTCGATTGCTTGGGTACCTCTGTCCCATTCGTGTTTCAACCGTGAAATAGTTGTGTTTGCATGGCTGTGTTTCGGTTTGAAGGGTCGGATATGGCGTGAATTTACAGGGTACAGACGAATAACACCTGAGTCCTCAGGAATGGCAACGCATAGGGGGTATCACGGGCGAAACAGTATACTCTGTTATGTCCATGGTACTGCTCATATCTATAGGCGACGGTTACTACTTTCCATCAGGTGGGCCGTCAGCTTGTTTGCCATTCAATGTTGTATAAAAAAAAACACAATCTTTCTACTAATAATGCTCCCGGCCTCGGATGATTTTGAAAATAAAATACTACATATAAGAAATAATTTTTAATAACAATTAAGTATTTATTTGGTTTATTTACAAAGAAAAATCTTTTTTCCTTTATAATATCAGTATAAATTTATTTTTAAGAGAAAAGTCTACGAATATCTTTGGAAAAAACTGTGAAAGCAGTTCACCTTCATAATCATCACTTTGATCTCTATCGTTGTTTATTTGTGTTATCGTATATAATCTATAAGTAGGT